CAAGTGTGCAAATATTCAGAAGAAATTGATATAATACCATTAAAAGTGATAGGAGAAAATGTATTCTAAAAAATCGTTAGATTGGATGAACTCTCAATGTGACATTTTTGTGTGCATGGAAAAAGAAAACAACAAACTCAACATTTGCTCTCAACTATAATTTCATTTTCATTATGAATCACATATACAGAATTTTGTGTTGGAAATCTGGGACTATTATTTAAGTTATAAACTATTTTAGTCGTAAGGAACATACATTTCATTTGGAGTTTCAAAGCAGAATAGGTTACAGTCTAGCTCTACCTTTGAAGTGAGCAAAAGCTGTGTTACTTACTATGTTTGTAATTTAAGGTAAGATCCCTGAACCTCTGTTTTCTACATGTATTTCAAAAATGGTATTCATATAACAAATGCAGGGGTGCATGATTCTCTAGAATACACTTTTCCATACTACTGACGTGTGTGTCTTATAGTGGCTCGAAATTACTGTGGTAGGGAAAGGTTAGATGGAGCAAAGTATATGAAGTAATTCACCATAAAGATTCATTGAAATCTGAGTAAGAAATCACGTCCTGGATTTCTGTGCTTCACCTGACAAGGAAGATCATACTCCGAGCACGTAATGGCAACTCACCTGGTATAATCTGCTGTTTCAAATTGCAGTAAGCTGGGAGAACCTGAGAGCCAGGTGCCAATAATCCACAACTATGTTCTCTTAGAAAATCAGATTCACTTTGCTCTGAGAATCCTGGACTGTTTTAAAAATAAGACCTTGGAGAGTTGAGTGATGTTTTTGATGAAATCAGTCTAAAGCTGTCTACATATGCAAATACTTGAAGTGTGAGAAAGCAGCAGTAAATGAACTTAGACTAGAAAGGAATTTGTGCTGTATGTTTTTGTGATCTATGTGGCTTTTCTTTTGATGCTTAAATATAATTGATGTATTTTATGAAAGTACAAATCATTTAAGTTATGTGGATTATGTTTTCCCTCATATTTTGTAACCTTTCCTAAACTTCTGATAGAGTCCCTAGTTATTTGATTGTTTATTAATTTTTTTTGCATTGTTATTTATATTGGAAAGATTTATAAAGAGGAGGAGGAGAGACAGAAAGATCTTCCATCTGCTGGTTCATTCCCCAAGTGGCTGCAGCAGCTGGAGCTGAGTTGATCTGAAGCTAGTAGCTAGTAGCCAATAGCCAGGAGCTTCTTCTGTGTCTCTCACACAGGTGCAGGGTCCTAAGGCTTTATGCTAACCTCCCCTGCTTTCCCAGGCCACAAGCAGGGAGTTGGATGGGAAGTCGTTCAGCTGGGACATGAACCAGTGCCCTTGTAGAATCTAGACACTTGAAAGGCGAGAATTTAGCCACGGAGCTATCATGCTGGCCCTCCTTGTAATTTTTAAAATCAGTTAACAGTGTAGCAATTTGCTGAAGAATTGGGTCTTTTTCTAATTTGAATTTGACATAATCTAGTATAATGTGAGAGGCAGTTGTAGATTTAAGAATACTAGTGTGTTAAGAGTAACTCCATGTGTTTTATGCTGATTGACTACCAACAGGTTTTGTGTGTGTGTGTGTGTGTGTGTGTGTGTGTGTGTGTGTGGGTAGAGAATGGATCAAAAGAGCACTTATGTTTGGAAATGAATAAATTGAAATGAGTAGGAGAGTTAAATAGGAAGGAAGGCATGAGTTCATTGTTTGAAGAATACATACTTGTTTTAGATTATAATGTTGTCCTTTTTATAACCAGGTTAAATAGCTATGGTTTCTCATCAGTATCCATCAAATTTTGTAAACTTAAAAAAAAATTTTTTTTTACATGTCATAGCTTACTGAACACTGTGCTATGTAATTATCTTAAAACGATGTTTTCAAGATAAAATTATGTTGGTGTTAGTCACGGTCATGTTAAATAAGTCTTGCATAGTTACTACCTACTGTAGAAATGAGGAATAAATATGGTTTATAGATTTATATTTCAAATTAGTAAGTATATTAATACATAATGATATTCTTCTTTGTTTATATTGTCATAACTAAACAGAATCCGAAAATTATTAAGTGAAGAATTTCAGGTTTCTGTTTGTTCCAAATATGATTTCCTCTTCAGAATGCAAATGTTAATATGCAAACTGTTGTTCTCAAAAGTAGTGAGTGGTCTTTCAGTCAAGATTTTGGATTAAGCATTTTTATTAGTGTTACTTATTTCTATAAGTAGCATTGTGTCAGTGAGAAAGAGAGGGAGGTAGAGAGAGAGCGAGCCAGTACATGGATCCCACGTGGGATCTTGGTGCTTGCAAGGCGGTTGGCCAATGTAGGAGTTAGCACTTGAATTAGCACACCAGTGTGGCATGAGGGCACCATAAGCAGTGCTTTAGTGGCTGTGCCCCACTGCTCTGGGCAGCTTCATAGCATCATCTGTGTGTTTTTCTGTCCCCCAAAGTATTTGCTTACAACTACTTTACTGCACATCAATGGCTTATCTTTGCTACAATTGAAAGTATGTCCTCCCCTAAGGGAGCCCATTAGATGAAATGAAATTTCACTGTAATCCAGTATTTTCTTAAAAACAATAAATCAGTAACACTGAAAGAAAACATGAAAATTGATTTTGATTATTTTAAGTCTGTAAGTTTTTATTTTTTCACATTTCAAGAGAAAAATACCTTTAAGATTTTCAGAATCAAGAATGGCATTGTGGTGTTTGAAGTTAAATTGCTGCTTGGATGGCAGCATCCCGTCGGAGCACCTGTTGGATTCCTGGTTGCTCCACTTACTATGCAATAGTTGATGGTGGGCTGATAACACTCTGCTGGATGCACATGAGAGACCCTGATTAAAGCACCTGCCTTCTGCCTTGTTCATTTTTGGTGTGCATCAGCAGATGAGAAGTCTCCCTCCCCCACTGTCTGTTTCTATTCTCTTTCCCCTTCTTCTTCGTTTTAAAGATATATGTGTTTTTATTGTAAAGGTAAATTTACACAGAGGCAAGACAGAGAGAGGTCTTCTATTTGCTGGTTTATAATGAAGGTAGAGCAGCAGCAGTTTTTGGGTCTCCCACAAGGGTGCAGGATACTGAGGTTGTCTGCCATCCTCTACTGCTTCCCCAGACTGTAAGCAGGGAGCTTAATTTGAAGTGCAGCAGCTAGGACTAACTGGCACCCAAATGGGATCCTGGCACATACAAGGCGAGTGTTTAGCCACTAGGCTTTGGTACTGGGCCCGCTCTTTGTTTTAGAAAAAAAGTTTCTTTTTCAGAATCATCATCTGACACATACCTAAATCAATATTATTGAGAATCTTCATTATATGTTACTAACAGCAGAAAGTATTATTACAGATAAATCCTATTGAATTCAGAGGCTAGGATGGTATGATTTGAATTCAGAGTTAAGGATGATTTTCTTTAGAAAATGTGCAGAGAGGAGTTTTTCAGTGTGGCATTCATTGGATATATAATGCCTTTGGGCTCCAATGATTTGGGTTGAAAGAAAGTATTCTGTTGACATGTGCTTGGAAAGACATCTGAAAATCTCACTGCTCGTTAGCCCTTGAATGCCAGGTTCACAAATTCAACCATCATTTTACTATAATAGCAGGATAAATGCACCTTGTTGAACTCAAATGAAAGATTCAGGTTATTTGAGGGGTATTAAAATGATAGCTTTAAAAATGAATTGACTCTACGTGGGCTGCAAGCAGGGTCATTAGTAGCTTTTGCTGTGCTAGAATTTAAGATCTGACAGTGAAGTTAACGGATCTTGATGCTGGAGACATTTCAGAGAGAGAATTAATTCTAGGTAGTGAAAGGGCAGATTTTTATGTCTGGAGGAGACAAGGACTAAGAAGTAAAGATTAAATAGAAGAATGCATCAATTGTGGTTGTCATTGAGAGAACACCTGAGCTGTGGAAGGCAATTTTAGGTACACTGAATGTAATGCTTGTTAGGATTACCTCTGATATTGTTGCATAACGAACTGATGTTCTGCCGTGTTTGCAACCCATATGGGTTCCTGGTGTGAGACCTGACTGTTCTACGTTAGATCCAGCTCCGTGATACTGCACCTGGGAAAGTTTTGGAAACTGCTCTCTCTCAGCTTTAGTCTGGGTCCAGGCCTGGCTGCTGTGGTTATTTGGCTGTAAGCCAGTAGGGAGTAGATTCACACACACTCTCTCCATTTTACCTGCCAATTGCCAAAATAAATCTTTATATAAAAAGAATACTAAAACCATATAACTTGTATATTGATGTTTAGTACTGGATTCCATTGACACATTGCAATTAATTGATAAGGAGGTGATAATTGTGTCCTTAAAAGTGATGGTTTTATTTTGTCAAGGCTGTTGTTCTGTCTACCAGTTTGCTGCCAATTATGTTAGACATTGTGAGTTAGATCAGTTAATTCTAATGCCTTGATCTGGAACATGTTGACCGAGACCTAATTAAAGCTGTGTGTAGTCATCATTATAGCTTACTTTGCATTACTGAGAATCAAGGTATAGAGGATTCCAAATGATTTTTTTTTTAACTTTTCAACAATACCTTAGTGGATGCGATTGGGTGATTTCATATTATATGTGGTGCAGAAGAGAATTTAATTTGTTTCCAATATTTTTCCCCTATTGGACTTATTGATAAAAAAACAGTCAAATAATTCTAAAGGAAAAAAATACAATTGATGTCATTTGTTGACTGAGTTTTAGCTTTCAGACTTTTTTTGATCTCACACTGGGTGAAACATGAGCAGGAGTGGGAGACCTGATGCACAGGTCTCTCTGAAGTATACTAAATATATTTTCCTACTCATAAATGTGAATGTGTGTGTGCTCCCTGCCAGTCTGAAGAAACTTGTATAATACTCCCTGGTTAAGACACCCTAAGGCATTTTTAAGCACTCAGTCATGTAGTGACTAAATATTCCAGTATTATGCAGTCCAGCCTGACTCTGACTGTATATATTTTTTGAATGTTCAATCCTACCCTCACTGTGTTTCAGTGCACTTGCAGGAAAGACATGGTGAAAATTTCCATGGATATCTTTGTGAGGAAATTTCAACCAGACAGATACCAGCTCTGGAAACAAGGAAAAGATATATATACCATTGATCACACGAAGCCCACTCCAGAATCGACTCCTGAAGTGAAGGCCTGGCTGCAGAGGAGGAGGAAAGTACGGAAAGCATCCAGGAGGTAAAGATCTCCATCCCCCATCCTTAGAATACTTGCCAAGATGAGCTACTGAGTGATGTCTCAGGAGCTGTTTAGTCAAGATATTTATTCATCATAAATTTAGTTACCTTGGGTCTTTTAACTACTCACCTCTTGTGATGTATAGAACATAGGCAGAGGTTTATGTTGCATTTGAGAATAATCCTGAATTCATGTTACATAGCAAAAGAAAAATACAGAATTTCTTTGACTCTCTTCACTAAACTACTTTGAAGTTGGATTGTTTTGCTCCATTCATCTCCATATTTTAACTCACTTCATTAACTTAATTTCATATTTTTCATTTTGCTACCAGTTTTCTTTCTGATTTTAATTGTTTCCTTCTTGGATTAGGTATCTGAAATCCTGCTTTTCTCAGTGGACTGCTCATATTTTACCACTTGCTCCACACTTCTGTTTCTTTTCTTTCTTTTAAAATGAGATGCAAAGCAGAGCAAGTGGCGGTTCACATGGTTTTCCTTGAGAATTTATTTTCCATTCCATTTTTGTATCCTGGGCCATTTCAAAAGTTTTTTTTTTTTTTTTTTTTTTTTCCCCTGTGGGCATCTTCCAGTTTTAAAACCCTTTGTATAGGGTATGGTATTGTTCTGGCCCTTTGGCTAACTTGTAACTTTAATATTAAACTTTCTTCTGCAATATTACCCGTTGTTTTTCTTTCAGATTTTAAAGTTATATTTGAGCATTGGAGAACATTTCTAAAATAAGGAAAAGAATAATGAAGGAATCCCAAATCACCCATAACCTCATTGTCCAGAGATAACCAGTGTTAACATTTTGTATATATCCTTTACATATATATTTATTATATATTATATAATATTACCTACCTTTGAAAAACTTGGGCCATGCTCATAACACTTTGTTTAGAAGCTTTTTGAGCAGTTTTTCATGTAATTAAATGAATTGCTAAAAGGTAATTTTTATTGCCTGCATGTATTTATCTAATACTCCGATTTGGAACCTGTTTGCTTATTTCCTTTTTTTTTTGTTTTTTTGTTTTTGTTTTATTTGCTTTTGTTATTTGCCAGCCAACTTGTAATTTTAAATCTGTGCCCACACTTGTAATGGTTATTTCCTGAATCTATTTTTTTTCCTGAACTTTATTTTCTGCCTTTTTTAGCATGGTAGCAATTGAAGGAATTTTAAGATCATGGAGTCAAGCTTCTACATTGTGTCAGAGATAGACTCAAGGCACAGAACTATGCAGTTAAAAAGTTAAATTTTAATATTTTCCCTACAGCTTATACCGATGATTTCTAAAGTAATAAATCAGCTCCAGGCAGTTGATTAGGTCAGGATGAATATTTATGATTAGGAAGTAGAATCTAACAAAAAATATCCCAGTGCTTCCCATGTGCTCAGGGTAAGTACTTATTCATGACACGGTTGGGCATGTCTTTATATGTCCATTGTCTCACTGTTTAATGTATAACTAACTGTATTATTCAAAATTGCAACAATACTCACTTGGGGGGTCAGTGTCTTTGTTAAATGAATTCAAGTGCCTTTTCAAAAATGGCCAATTTTGGAAGGAAGCAGTGTTCTATTTTCATTTCAAAGACACTCCAATCTGGCATCTCCATAATTCTTTATTGGACAAACACTCAATACTTGTGATGTAGTATCTGGTTTCCTACATGTTAACCACAGTGGTCCATTATGATTCCTGACAGGTTGGTGTCATAGGAAATATTTTAATGCCTTTCACTTGGTTTTCATAATGAAAGAAGCTTTCCTCAACTTGTTAAAAAAGTTCATTTTAGAATTTGGTGTAGTATTCACAGCTTTGTATTTAAAGAACCTACTGGTTTCCCTTTAGTAAATGGACTGTTTCAGAGGTCCAGCCAATGAAATGACCCATGGAAATTGCAAAGAGATGTCACCCATGAGTACTGTGATATTTTTGGGGCATGGATCCTCTATAAAAGTGATGATGCTGTTGTTACTTTCACCAACAGCTGCTCATGCTAATTCACAGTGATGGTTCCTGGCTACTTCCTGTCTCTTGTTTCTGTCCTCGCTTACTTCCTACAGTGCTTAGTCTTTGTGCTGTGTTTGGTACATGTGTAGTAAGTATGTGCGCACGTGTCCATATGCCTGTTTGTTTTTGGACACTATTTTGAGTTGATTTCGAACAGTTTTTAGTTAGAAATGCCACCTATATGACAGGTAGAAATGAGAAAGCTGTCAAAGGCCTGGCTTGGAAGTACTAAAATAGGAAGAAAATATGTCCAGTACTGTCTGAAAATGATGAATTTTTTATACAATGTAAAATAAATTACTTTATTGTAATTCCATTAGCTATTATTTTAATGCATGCCTCAAATTTATCTTGGAACAATTTGCTTAGATTTTTAAATATTGCTTTCTTTATTGATTTACCTGTCATTTTTTACTTTATTTTATTTATAATTGTTTAAATTGTAATGTTTCTTATTGATTTCAGAGTTAAGTTTCAGACTTAAGCAATTAAGTGTAAAAAAAAAATTTAACATAGGTAGTAACGTAAAGTCGAAGTTGTTTCTTCTTGAAATAAGGGATGTGGTATTCCTATTGGTATGTGCTCTTTATTTTCATTACAGTTTTTCTGCTCTGACCACTACTTACATTCATAGCTTTCAGAGCACCAGGTCTCAGAGTAAAAAGCCTAAGGCTGAGGGGAATGAGGAACTCTCCGGGGAAGTTGACCCAGGCACACATGACTTCAGTGCCAAACCCGAAGAGGCAGAACAAGTGGGGAATACAGAGGCATCTTCAGAAAAAGCGATCTCTGCTGATAGGTCACAGGTGGATCCGACTTTATCAGGTATCGTCACTCTCTCAGATGAGAAAATTAATGGTTATGTTGCACATGGAGGTGGTGGATGTTTGGATGCCGTAAAGCTGTATTTACTAAGAACAGTTGTCTAGATAGCGTTATTAAGTATCTTAAGTTATTCGATAATTTAACCAACGTGTCCTGTGATAGTTATAAAAGTTAGGAGCAAGGCTATGCGTTAGATAGTCAACAGTGTCTGTTTGGCTTAATAAAAATGTGATTTTTATTACCACATACAGTATCTGGTTGGAACACTTTTCTTGAATTTATTGAAGTTTAGAAAATCAATTATAGATAATTCTTTGAGATTCTTACATTTCCAATTAATTTTTTTAAAGAAAGATTAAGGTTTAAAAAAAAAACAACAAAAAGACAACTCTGTGTTAAAACCCTCATCTGAAAGTCTCTCCTACTTTACTTTTACTCCTTATAGAGGGAGTAAAATTTTATAGAACAATTTTCCTGAAGCTGTATTAATGTTTTGCTTCTTTAATAGTTACTGGACTTTTTGTCCTTTTAATAATGAAACTTATTTGTAATTCCTGTCTTGCTGTCATAGTTCTCATATCATAAACCCTTCATTTATGCATTTCCTCTAAATTCAGTTAAGGCACTATGTCTGTTGGCCTACAGAAATTGTTCCCTTCCTATTGTATCCATTGTCCACTGTGGCCACTATTGCTAGTGAGTTCTGTATATTATCGTGTTGGCGATCTTTTATAAAAAGAATGGAAAAGATGCTTAGGGCTTGTATGTACGTTCTATCTACTTTGAATAAAGCAAATATTCCTTGCATATTCTTAGTATATTGAACCTTACTACCTTTGCTCTGGAAATATCTAGTTTAAGCCATAGTACTTTTTTTTTCTTCCATTGAATTTATAGACAAATAAATTTATAGTAAGAATCTAGTATAGTTCGTTTACATGGTACAGATGACAAAGGGTTTGGTCTGCCCAGGAAGGACTAAGGCCGGGGTTAGACAGACAAGGTTTCTTGTTGAGTTAAGATGAATGAAAATCAGTAACGAATGCAACAAATGTAGAAAGGACAGTTGCAGAATATTCATGGATTTTTTTTTGCTTTATATTACACAGGGTTTATGAATTCCTTGCACAACCAAAATCAGTAGCTGTTTTGCTATATTGTTCTTGGCATTTTGAATTCCAGGTCATGAGGTCTGGAAGCATACACTGAAACAGAAGATGTGTCTGTGTTCAGCATGAGAACTAGTATTTGATAGGTTGAAATGATTCTGCTTTCTGCGCATGCGCACACACACACACACGCATGTGGTAGGGGTGCTTTGAAATATTCTTAACCATTGTATGCTGTCAGTGTATGATTGTGGAATGAACTAGGAAGTAACACTTATTGGACAAGTAGATGCATCCGTTTTTCATTTACATGCATTTTGTGGGTTGGAATGTTTCATCAACACCAGTTCTTGGTATCATATATTGTGATATAAATCTTATTTTATAATAGGTTTCAAATTGGCATTGTTGGAAAATTCTATTGCCTTTTGATGTTGGTATATGTTAGAGTTTTTTAAAAGATTAAAAAATACTGTTTTCACAAATATTTGAGATAATAGATATGCCAAATGATTTGATATATATTGCAAAACATTACGTTTGACACCATATTTATTTAGTGTTTATGAAGTACAAATGCAATAATGATATCTTGCTTTGGCAGCACCTCCTATCCCAACATGACCCAGTCTCAACCTCACCTGCTCATACCTTTAACTATGAAGTAGGCATGGTGCTTTGAGGTGTGACCTTTCACATTCCTGTTTCTTGGAGTTGATGATATAGCCCTGTTTGGAACCGTTCTAACAGTTATACTCAGAAGTAATACATTGCAGTATTTGTCAACAGTTTTATGTTTTACTCCTTAGGAAACAGCTGCTTAAATACATCTGTAACAGAGGACATAAAAACTGAGGCTGACAAAACCTACACCATAATTGCACCCTCTAAACCCCATGTGGTTGATGATTCCAGTCCATTGCCTAGTGGCCAAGTGAAGGTCGAGGAATCAGTGCTAGCCAAGTTGTCATGGCCAAAGTCTCCTGAATCATGTTTTTCCGTGGCAGAGAGCAATGGCGTGTTGACCGAAGGAGAAGAGAGTGATGTGGAAAGCCGTGGAAGTGGCCTGGAACCTGGGGAGGTCGCGGGGTTCCCCAGTGGAGAGAGCAGTGACTTCAAAGTTCCCAGTGTATGTTTCAATGTTTGTTTTGTTTTTAAAGATTTATTTCATTTTTATTCGAAAGTTAGATATACAAGGAGGAGGAGAGACAGAGAGGAAGTTCTTCCGTCCACTGATTCATTTCCTAAGTGGATGCAATGACAAAAGCTGTGCCAATCCGAGGCCAGGATCCTAGAACCTTTTCTGGGTCTCCCATATGGTGCAGGGTCCCAAGGCTTTGGGCTGTCCTTGACTGCTTTCCCAGGCCATAAACAGGGAGCTGGATGGGAAGCAGGCTGCCAGGGATTTGAACCGGCTCCCTTGTGGGATCCTGGCGTGTATAAGGTGAGGACTTTAGTTGCTAGGCCACTGTACAGGGCCCCAGGTGCTTTTTTCTATGTTGTTTTTTCCCTTACTTTATAAAAGTTAACAACATTTTGGTACTCGCATTGTATGCAGGTAAAACTACTGCCTGGGGTGAAGGCATTCCATGAGTGTCTTTTGAGTCCTGGCTTCTCCACTTTCAAGCCTGTTTCCTTCTGATGATCTGGGAAAATCAACACCCATGTGGGAAACCTGGGTGAATCTCTTGGCCTCTGATACTCACAGTTTTACTAACATTTCATCTTGTCACAAATGACTTTAGTGCCTGCTAAAATTTCTCTTACTCTCCTTTTCATTCTGTTGTCAATAGTGATTGGTAATATTTCCTTTTTTTTTTTTTTTTAAGATTTTGTTTTTTAATTTGAAAGTCAGATATACAGAGGAGGAGAGACAGTGAGCAAAATCTTCCATCTGATTGTTCACTCCCCAAGCAGCCGCAATGGCTGGAGCTGAGCCAATCTGAAGCCAGGAGCCAGGAGCTTCTTCCGGTTCTCCCATGTAGGTGCAGGGTTCCAAAGCTTTTGGCCATCCTTGACTGCTTTCCCAGGCCACAGGCAGAGTGCTGGATGGGAAGCAGGGTAGCCGGGATTGGAACCGGCGCCCATATGGGATCAGTGCGCGTGTGCTAAGCAAGGAGTTTAACCACTGCACTATCGCACCGGGCCCTGGTAATATTTCCTTTTACTTGTTTTGTATCTAATCTCTTAAACTGATAATTTATATATCATGCTTGAGAACCAGGAATGTATTTTTTTTCCTACTTTGCCTGTAGGTGTTAGAATAATGGGATACAGGATATGTGCAAATATAAATTTTGCTCGTTCATTAAGTTATTATTTCTCACACTACTATTAATAGTGATAAACTTGGTAACTCTCACGCTATCTGTATGTTGCTTTGTTTCCCATGGGCTTTGTTTATAATGCTCTTTGTAGTATTTCAGGATCCTGTTTTGTAATCAAACTGGTAATAATTGTTTCGCTTCTGGTGACTGCTGCTGATTTATTACTTGTACACGAAGATGCAAAACTGCTTTCAATTTTAGTGTAAATCCAATACTTCCAACAGCTCTTTAATTCTTTTCTTGCTTTGGATCTCTTGGACCGTTTGGCAAGAAATCTTGTCAGTGGATGCTAACTGGAAGATAAGTTTGTGAGTGGAAGTAATCATCTTAAATTTGACAGAACTTCCTTCTCTGTAAGGAGAGAAAGCAAAGTCACCTGTCTGTAGGAATAGTACATAGGTGACTAAGGCCGCATTCTTTATTATGTTCATGAGCATAAAATTCTGAATTTATTCAAAAACTTTTCAAAAAATGTGTGTTGAACTCAATGCAAATTTTGACTAGCTGCACAGCAGCTAATTTTAAGTAGTTTAAGTTTACTGCCTTGTATTAAAGCACCCTGTATCAGTTTAAGTTCCAGCTGCTGTACTTCTCATCCCATTCCCTGCTAATATGTCTGGGAAAGCAGTAGTTGAGGATGATTCTGGTACTTGGTCCCTTGCCCAGCCATGTAATAAGCCTGGATTGAGTTCCGGACTCTTGAGCCTGTGTTGTTCTAACCCTAATTTTGATGTCCATTTATGAATGAATCAGGTATAGAAGATCTTTCTTCTTCTTCTTCTTTCTTCCTTCTTCCCCATTAGGCTTCCCCTCCCTTTTCTGCCTCTCTTTGTCTCCTTTTCCCTTTTTATGTCACACTCTCTCTCATTGTATCCAATAAATAAATACATATATATTTAATCGAAAGCAAGAAGGAGTAGAAGGCAAGGTATTTGACCTTGATCATGTTGGCAGTAGAATGATTTTCTCTCCTGAATTCACTTTTAAATTTCTTAGAATTATTTAAGAGGTAAATTTTTGTAAAGTTACTTTTAATTTAAGTTGACAGCAATCATTCTAAAGTATCTTTGTTGTTGTTGTTTAAAGCATGTTTTACATTATGAATATTTCTTCTACATTCTTTGTTTATCATCAGGGAGAGACCAAAACTGCTAAGAGTTGGCGCCACCCGCTGACTAAGCCTCCAGCCAGATCCCCGATGACTCTGGTGAAGCAGCAGGCAGCCAGTGATGAAGGTGAGCTCCTGTCTTGTTTCAGGGCATTTTTCTATGAAGATGTGTGTGATGAGAAACTACTGTTTAAAAAAGTTGTTCCAGTATGTAGCTTATCTGATGGCAATAAAGATGACAAGTGCATCTTTATTGTATCTTTATTGTATATTAATTTCACAAGCAAAAAAAAATAGATTTTAGGGAGAAAGAGTTTATTTTTTGCAGTCATTATTACCAGTAAAATGCTTATGTGTCATTAAATTTACCTTAAGGTCTTCCAGAATTTGGGCATTGTTGTTTAAATGTCAAACTAAAACTGGATGTCTGCATTCTTATTGCTTTTCTTTGAATCCTTAACACTTGTTTAAACCACATTGAGTAAAAAACTATGCATAATATTTCATAGGTGCTGCTTTGTCAAACATTCTCTTGTTGTAACTAAAATGTGCCTATGTTGCTGGATATAATTAACAGCAAGTTACTGTCCTGGGATGTAGTATCTCTTGTTTCATTTAATCTGCCCTTTTACCTGTCTTTTTTCTTAAAATATTGTTTTAATTAAATGCTTGTAGAATACTATACTGATTTACTGCAGGTATAAAATGTTATGCTAGTCTGTTTCTTTTATAAAATAATGTCATCTTGTGACTTCAATTTCAAGATCAGATCATTGACTACCTAGACTGCAAATTACTTCACATCTTTCATGTGGGCCTACTTTTTCCATTTCTAAATGCCAGTGTAAGTAAATTTCCTATAGAGTGAACTTTCTTTGAGACATTCCTTCTTCACTGGTGGAAATTATTATGACCACCTGTTTCTGAGGATGCTATCGAGGAAGTGACATGATAGGTTAAGGTTTAAATAGTTTTACCGTAGTATATAAACCTTTTAACACATATAAAGATATTAACACATCTCTAGTTAGAATAAAAATATCATCAATGTGTGAGTCAGGTAGAGATGATACCTGTTTCTATGAGTGTAAAATACAAAATTGTGGCTCCAGTAAAGTATTTCCATTCTGTTAAGTTATTCTTGTTCTTAGTATTGTAATCCATGTTCCCCTAGTGTCAAGAAAATTAAAATATGATTAAAGAAATTAATACTCATTTTAATTAGTCTTTCCTATCATAGTCCATTTTTAGTGCAGCATTTCTAAAGTTATTGGATATACTGAAACATATGGAAAGCCACTTTTTGCATGTCCTTATTTTCTCAGGAATTTCATTTTACGTTGTGCCATCACAGTTTACCTTAGAGTTTTTCCATGTAGATCAGTTTTGATATCTGTTTAAGTGGCTTGAAAAATTTGTACTTTGGGGCCCACTGTGATGTCTTGATTGGCTAATCCCCCCTTCAAGTTCTGGGGTCCTATATGGTTACCCATTTGTGTCCTTGCTTCTCCACTTCCCTTCCAGCTTCCTGCTTGTGGTCTGGGAAGGCAGCAAGGATATCCTAAGTCCCTTTTACCCTGGACCTGCATTGGAAACCCGGAGGAGGCTCCTGGCCCCCGGCTCAGCTGTGGCCATTGTGGCCATTTGAGCAGTGAACCATTAGCTGGTTCTTTTTTTCTATCTCTCATTCTCTGTAGATCTGCCTTCCCAATGAAAATAAATGAATATTAAAATAAAATTAAGTGAATTGGTTTAACAAAGTTGTCTCCTGGGTTTGAGGATAAATGTTTTCCTGAAACATTGATGATTTAAAATTTTGCATTCCATTCAAATATAGTGATAATTCAGAGAATTTTTGTGGTGGCTAAAGATTTTAAGATGCCTCTGAGCTGACAGTGTAACTATTCTGTGGTCTGGAGTGAAATCCTCTCATCCTTTTGTCTTGTTTCCCTGTTGCTTATTTTATTATATGTGAGTGAATAGGACATGAATAGGATCACACAGTTCCACATGAACTGTGGATTTTTTTAGTCTAATTTCTCAGCTGTTTCGACAGTCCTTATATAAAGGAGAATAACTGCATTAGAGTCTCTCAGAAATTGCACCCTTATACAACAATGAATGTCTGCTTTTTGGAAACAGCTATTCTCTAATTAACCTAAAATATTTCTCTGCAAACTTGCTCCAGTACAAAAGGTTGCAGCAAGAGGAATGATTGCTGTGTAAGTTTCTCTTTCTCACGCCTAGTGCCTTTTTGATACTCAGGTGATGTGTAGAGATCGTTCTGATTATTCACACATCCCTGAGTTCCAGAACCTGTAAGGATTTTACGGCTCTCAGCATTTCTTTCCTAGAAAACCACTTGCCATATCTAGTAGCAAAACATTTTCATGTTGGACATAATATGCTACGTTTTGCTTTTATTGTTTGATAATTCTCTTTCTCTTTTTGTAATGCTATTCATTCTGTCCCACTGATCACTGCAGATTATACCTGATTTGAGTGTGTGTGTGTGTGAACATGCTGTTTTAATTATCTATAAGAGTGTGAGTAAATTATATTCATGTCCATTATTTTAGCTATTTTATTCTTCTAATACAATTGGAATTTCCATTTTCCCTCTACCATGTCTTTGAACTTGCTCAGAGTTGCCATGCCATTAGCCAGTGTCTGGGGACCTTAAGGACTCCTGTGGTTGTAATCCCACGCTGGGTCAATAAATGACTTCTAGACACTGGTTTTACTTAGGTAATGGTGATTTGATGAGTTACCTATTTTCTGATCTAGGCAAAGGAAGGTTTTACAAATGGTTGTCTTCAGCATAGTCAGTGCAAAATCTGCTTAGAAAAATTCTGTTTTTCTCTATTCCAATTCTGATAAACTATAGGTTGTGGAGAAAAGTATAGGTTTATTACAAATTAGAGCAAGAAGAGTCACTTGTGAGCTTAGATTTATCATTGGATTTTTTATTTCTCGTGTTCATACACACTTACAAATGCATGTTAGCTAATATGGCAAGTTGAAAAGACTAGCTGATGGTGAATTAAGCTCTCAATAAATGAGTAAAATCCAAAGGGGATTCAGAGTATATGATACAGCACATTTCAGAACTGAGCTGTTACTCCATTAAAATAAGGCTGAGTCATGAGTTGGGAACTGAAATATCAAATTCTGAAATCTCAGATCCCTGAAATATCAAGGTGCTGCTCTGCTCTTCCTAGCAAAAGTGTTGCTGCCCCGTGAAACACATCCAAGGAACATAACCCTAAGCAACCAGTGCACTGTGGAGACAGCATAGTGAGAGTATGCTATAGTGGTGTCTGTTGCATTCTCTCAGCCTGGCTTGGGAGCACTGCTCTTTAATAGCCCAAATGTTTTTCTTTGAAGAAATTTACTGTTGCTTAGTTCAAAAATGTGTTCAAAGAATATGTACTCATTAGGTAAATGAATCTGGAAGAAATCTGTTTTAAGGCAGGTATTAGGGTCAGCCTTGTGTCATAATGGCTTACATTGCCACCCATGATGCCACATTTGTTTATTACATACTCCTCTCCTTCCCATGTGGAGAACTGGGTGGTTTTCAGGTTTCTGTATTTGGTCTGTACCAATCTCAGTCTGGTGCTTTTCTAGGCAGATTAGCAGGGAACTGGATCAGAAATGGAGTGTCTGGGACTTGAATCCTTATATAGGATGCTGATGTTACCAGGAGGTCATTTTTTGATTTTTTACATTTAAAAATATTTTATTTTGTTTCATGATACAGTTCCATAGGCTCTGGGGTTGCCCGTGCCCTTCCCCAAGGTTTCTCCTTCCCCCTCCCCCACTGATTTCCCCTTTGGTTTTTTTTTTTTTTTCTTTAATAAAATTTATTTTGACATTCTTTACATACTTAGTTAGAGTAAGAAGGTTCAAGGGCTACAGGAAAGTGGATAATACTAATATGTTTTCCATATTGTTACCTTCATGTTTAAAAGGGGGGTATTAAGGGAGAAGGCTCACCCAATTTCCCACCCTCCCCAAGTCCCGGGTGTAGGGCATGCTCTGAGGTTCTTGCTCAAGTGGTTTTGATATTGCAACAGTTATGAATCGCTGTCAATCTTGCCACTCCAAGCACTATGAGGTCTTTGAAAAATCCACTGATTGACATAGTCCATCATAGCTGAGATGGTTGGTTGACCCGTTCTGTCTTCTCTCTTTTCTTCGTTAGGGTTCTGAGTCCAGCATTTAGATTAGGAAGATCTCCAAAGAAACTTCTTGTATGTGCTAACAAGTACAGGGCCTGGCACCGTCCATCGCTCCAATCAGCTGGTGGTTGTAATTGCTGGGTTGGTTCTGTTTTCACTCCCGACTTCCACTGGAACCAATGGGTGTTGCAGTCCAGCCTGGTTCTGCCCAGCACATACTTGGCCCTCACCTAAACCAGTGGGAGCTGTAGCCTAGTTGGAGTGACCCACAATAACCCCCACCAGGACCGCCCCTACCCTGGTTTGCCAGTAAGTGTAGCAGTAATCCAGTCTGTCCCACACCCCATTCCACCCCAGCCGCTGTTTAGTTTTATGTCCTCCCGTGGAAGTGGTAACCCAAGAGGGATGAGCCCACTATTACCCTCCCAGGCCTCTCCCACTCCCAGATTCCAATTGATGCTGCCCAAACAAACCTCGCCCACTTTAATTCTGTTTGCACCAGTAGGAATAATCCGCCAAGCCCGGCTTTTCCCTGATCTAGTCCACATGGGGCGCACAGGTGTGGTAGCTCTGCCTAGTCTGGTCTGCCCCCATCCCAGCCCATGCTCTCCTGCGGGAGTAGCTATCCTGCAAAGGAACCCTCCATTATTCCCCTGCTGGCTCTGCCTACTTCCTTTCTTGTTCTCAGGCTGGTTGGACGCTGCGGTCCCCTCCGGTACAGGCAACCTCACCTGGGCATTCCATATTGTGCACTAGTCTTTGTTGCGACCGAACCTGGGTCGACCCACACTGGTGCTTGGATTTGCCAGTGGATGACGTGGACAGATTCATCCTGGTCTTGCCCCCACATCTGCCAAGTGTATGCCAGTGGGTAGCTTTCCATGGCCTTTTCTGGGCTGTTTCCTATCATGTTTCTTGCACTTACCTGCCGGGTCTATGTCCTGCCAGAGGAGTTGCCCAGGCTCCTCCATCAGAACCTCTCCCAATGCCAGGTTACACGCTTACCAGTGGGTCCATGAGCCAACCCTACTCAGTCCATCTCCTGTCCTAGCAGGAACTGTGGCTTTTCCTGACTGGCCTTCAACCCAATCTGGTTCTTGCTGTTGGATGTTCCAGCCCAGCCATGGTTTGTCCATACCTACGTATGGCTCACACATGGCTCAGCAGGGGTTTGAGACCTTGCCTAGTCTATCACACATCTGCCCTGGTCCTCCAGAACACCAGGGGGATTCGGGGTCTAGCCCGGTTCGGTGCATCCAATCCCAGTCCACACTTGTGCCAAGGGAGACCACAAGCATTTCCAGATTAGAACGCAGCCCCCTTCCAGGCCACGCGCCTCTTTGTGGGAACCTCAGCCCAGCTAGGGTTGTCCCTTTAGCTCCCCAACCGGGTCTGTTCCCAGCCATAGCTCACTCGCATGCCAGTGGTTGCTCTGACTCAGCTTGGCACAGCTCCTCACCTGTCTTGACCTCTGCCTTAGACACTGTGTCTTTGTGTCCCTGGCTCCTGCAGACCAGTAGGTACAAGAGCCTAGCTTGGCATGACCTTTGCTCCCTCCTGGTTTCTAGTTTTACTTGTGGGCTAAGGTTTGCTCATTCGTACCAGATCTACTCTGTTCCCTACCAGTTGACACGTTAGCCAGCCGTTGGAGCTACTTTTGCAGGACAAGCCCCAAGCCCAGGCTTCTGCATGGACTGGTATTTGGTGCCCAGCATTATTAGTGATTACAAATTTTACAAAGGAAAAGTTACTGCCTGTTTCAGGTCCGAGAATCACAATGGGTTCAACCTGGAGCTAATTAAGCAGCAACTCAAAGAACCAAATCCCCAGAGCTCCCCAGCCGGGCGGCCAGCAGGCAGAGCCTGGCACCAGTTGGCACACTGGCCGCCCAGGGACAGCTCACCATGTGCACATGGTGGCTGTCGTCTGGATCCAGGCATGAGACGCCCCGTCTTGAGACCCACCAGCAGCCGGGAGCGGCAGAGCTTAATCTAAGGTACTGGTTAGTGCTGCACTCATGACTGTTCACCAATCACAAGATACCTGTTCTTGTGTGGACCTCATCCATAAAATCACTTCAGTTCTGTGATTTGTGGTTAGAGTCATAAGAATATTTTCATTTGCTTTACAAAATGATTTGCCCCTCCCAAATCCCCTTCACCGCCCAATGAGGGCGGCGGGTGGGTGCCGGACCTGCCCAGTCCCAGAGGCCTCCCCCCTCGGGTCTACTCACCCCAAAGGAAGCAGCCTCTGGAACCCAGCAGGCCGGATACGGCTCACCATGTGCCCATGGCGGCCGTCTGGGATCCAGGCATGAGACGCCCCGTCCTGAGACCCACCAGCTGCCGGGAGGCTGCTGGAGGTTTAAGTTCCCAGGCCCAAGGTCGTGCCCCTCCCAAATCCCCTTCACCGCCCAATGAGGGCGGCGGGTGGGTGCCGGACCTGCCCAGTCCCAGAGGCCTTTCCCCTCGGGTCTACTCACCCCAAAGGAAGCAGCCTCTGGAACCCAGCAGGCCGGACACGGCTCACCATGTGCCCATGGCGGCCGTCTGGGATCCAGGCATGAGACGCCCTGTCCTGAGACCCACCTCCCCTTTGGTTTTACAACAGATGTCCTTCATGAACAGTCACAAGTCCATCATGCTGTTATTGAAGTGAGGTGTCTTTAACCCAGTATTCTGCAACACTGGCCGCGGGCATAAACATTTTTATTGAAACTTGTACACATGGGAGATTATTGTGTCTCTAGACTGCCTCTGACTCAGCTATATTGTTAATTAAAAGTTTCATTTATATTTTTTAAGGTTCTTATTTGTTTTAAAGAGTTAGAGCTAGGGACAGACAGATTTTCACCTTCTGGCTTACTCTTCAAATGGTAACAACAGTAAGACTGAGCCCGGAGGTGGGAACATCTTCAGGTCTCTCTGCAGTGGCAGGGCCTCAAACACTTGAGCCGTCTTCTCCTGCTTTTCCCAGGCAGTTTGCATGGAGCTGGATCACAAGTGCTACAACTGAGACAGAAACCATCACCCTTATGGCATGTCAGGTCACAAGCCATGGCTTTATTTGCCATGCAACAAAATTGGCCCGGCAATTGATATTTATAGTCATGCATTCCAAGATGTAACATACCTAGAATGAAATGCAAGGTCTGCACTGCAGTAAGCAATAACTTTGAGGCAGATGGTTCATATAAACTGTTGGAAAGCTGCAATTTTAATAATCTTGTATTTATTTTACAGATGGAGACACTGAGGTTTAACATTCTAATAGAGACTGTATGGACTATATTATGAAACTTTTATTATAAATATTGATTTGAAATATTGAATTGTAGCCAGAGAGAGAGATTGCCATTTCTGTTTAACATGGCTGGAACTAGGAAGGGTTCAAGCCAATAGTTTGGAGCTTCAGTGCATGTTTCATATGAAAGGCAGGATCGCAGGTATTTGGACCGCATTCTTGTGCTTTACCAGGCACATTAGCAGGGAACTGTACCAAATGTGGAACAGCCTGGGCTTGAACCATTGCCCTTATGGCAAGCATTTCTGGTATTAGCTTTATCTGGTTTGCCATGATATTGCCAACTTCCATGAGTAAAATATTTTAAAAACATGTATTCAAATAGGAAAGCTGATAGCCAAGTTCTCTGCTAGTGTAGTGGCAAGTTTTCATGATGGGGTTGGAGTGAAGAATTGGTTTAGGAAATTACAGGAGGACAAAATGCTTATGTTCAATTATATAGCTTTTTGTGTGCTTCAAATCTATTAAAATGTGAATAGCCATTATAATTATGATTAAATCCCATCTCTATTAAAATATCACAGCATGGAAATGATGTGATTATTTAAAATTTTGGTTATTGATATATTCCAGAGGACTTTATCTCTTAAGTACTTATGAAGAAATTTATGGTTTCTTTTTAATATCAAGGGAAAAATAAAATGTTTATTAGGTGAAGGCACAAATGAAGATTGTCCCTACTAGTTCTACTTTGTTTGCTGTCAGCGCTGACTTTGCTTTGCCAGAACCTCATTCCTGCCCGCCTGTTTTCAGCAGATTTAGAGTAACATGTTGAGTGCCTGTAGAGCTTCCATGGCAAAGGCAAATGCTCTTTGTGTCAATGTTTTCCTATTTGAGGATGCATTGAAGGCCAGTCCTTGCCGTTGAAGTGGATTGAAGGTACTGGTGATACTTGATCCTGCCCTGATAACTCCCTGGCTCTGTGCTCCAGAAATTAGCCTTTTTCTTATTTCTTTTTCATTATCAATGATTTTTTTTGAGTTAAAAAGTATTTTTTTCCATCTTTGAAAGTGTTTGTTTTAAACACTCACATTGACTATAGCCATCTCCAACGATGATAACCATGTGGTGCCATTATTTTATTATGTGCTATAAAGTAGCAGCATAGTTTGATTCCCACGGATTTATTAATTCATTAATTTATTTTTGGATCCCATATTCAGCGTATGATGTAGATGTTAGTTCCCTGAATTAATGACTTCATGGTGTTTACAGTGGTTTTTACTCAATGCTTTTTTCATTTGCAGTCTTTGTAGAAAATTGTGTTATTTAATGTGAGACTCCTGTTTTAACCAGTTTATCTATAGCCCAATTACTTCATTGTAAAGATAGGCCAAGGATTTTTTGTTTTAGTTTGAAGGTCTCTGTTGCTGTGTATCAAACATTTTTCAGAATCACTGCTTTTTGTTTTACCTGGAATGAAGTTCAGATCGTGTTTTTGTCTTTCATTGCTTCCAGTTTTCCTATGTAATTCTGCAAGGGTTAGAATGCTGGTTGCACAATACTTTGTGACAGTACCTGGAATGGATTTCCTTAATGTTTCTCAGCTTTAGACTGTCACATAAGATTTGACAGTGGTTGCTGCTACTTCGCCTCATAGAAGGTGCTCTCCTATAGGGTGAGGAGCATCTCTGAAGCTGCTATGTCTTCCTGCATTTTCCTTATGCTTCTATAAGACTTTGTAAAGACACATTTTTGTTGATTTGTTTTTTGGTTAATATATTCATGCTTAAGAGGGTTGACTCGCTAGTAAAATCAAAATCAAATATAAAAATTTGATGTGAAGATTTTTTTAAATCCATGAACTACCTGGCATATTATGAATCTTCTCTAAATGTTTATTGTCCCAGATTCTTGAAGTCATAACTGAATTTAGTAAAGTTCAGTTAGTGAACTTACGAAGGCAAGTACAATATTTAAGAAAGCAGAAATTCTAGTGAGGCACTTACTGGGTTAAGTGAGATTTGCTCCTAACCAATAGTTAATCTCAAATGCTTGTCAGTCTTCTTCCATTGAAGTGTTATATTACTATAAGAAACATGGAAATATGGAAACCGAAAGGAGGGAATGATTCAGTGATTATTGATAGTGATGGGATGGGTGACAAAGGGAGTCTGGTCGTCTGGCCTGGTTGCCTGGTTGGTCTTTGAAGAATAATAAGGGTAAGAAAGAGTCTATGTATTCTATTCCAGAGAATGTATTCTGTATCAGATTGTGTTTGAAAGAGTTTGGTTGTGACATTGATTTGTGAACACTTTGGAATGTGTTCCTCATTTATCTTGATTTTTTTGTTGTTGTTGTTCCCTGGGTTTATGCTTACTGTCTTTTCATAATTGCTCACCTAAGAATTACCTGAAGTGCCATTGATTGAGGATGAAGTGGAAGAAACAGAGTCGTGGGCGAAGCCTCTTATCCACCTTTGGCAGACAAAATCCCCCAACTTCGTGGCTGAGCAGGAGTATAATGCCACAGCAGCAAAAATGGAGCCACACTGTGCTATCTGTACTCTGCTCATGCCTTACTACAAGGTAACTTGGGGGTTGGTAATGTCAAGGTTTGCTTTTTCTCCTTCTTTGTGCACCCTGAGGTCATCTGTGAGTCATTTTTCACCAATATGCTCTTAGAAAAAGAAATAGTGGTATTTCTGTAGCTAAGGCTCTTTGTAGAACAATAGGTTCTGTATATTGTTTGGGAGGCATTTTTTTCAATTGCTGTGTTATCTTTGTTTTATTTCAAAAAAGGAGCATTTTTTCCATTTTGCTGCTTTCAGCTCTGTGCCCAAGTGTTTAATATTTTCAGCTTACCATGTGGAATGCCATTGGCAGCATTGTATGAATACTGGATTGTCCAGGTCATGCTCACCAGCCAGTTATGCTTGATCCTTTCTGCATCACTCCACATGCACCATACTGATGACATGTTCACTAGCAAGTCACGGTCTTTAACCAATACAATGCAATAATTTTTAGGAATCCAGTAATTATATGATTTTGTAATACAAAATATGTCGATAGAACATTTTGTTTTTTGTTATGTTTTCAATATAGAGTAAATATTTTATTCAATTTAAACTCTCTTCCATGTAAATCCAAGCCAATTGTTTAGATATTTCAGAGCAAAAAAATGTGTGACAGTCTATAGTTTCATAACTTTCTAATTAGAGGAAGTACTGTAGTACTGTATTCTGCTTGTAAGCGATAAGCATTGTTTTTGTCATATTTTAGTTATTAGATTTCTGGTTTTTTTAAGTGATTCTTATTTATGATTTATTTGCAAGCTTCACTGTCTCTCTCTTTTTCTAATTTTATTGGAGAGGCAGTGAGAAAGAGAGGACTCTTCCATCTATTGGTTCACTTTCCAAACACCGTTACAACTAGTGCTGGGTTACTGCAAAGTCAGGAAACCAGAGCTTAGTGCAGGTCTCCCATGTGGCTGACGTGTAATTACTTGTATAATCACTGGTGCCACTCAGTGTGGCCATTAGCATGTGAATGCAGAACCAAACTCAGACATTCAGATACACAGTGTTTGCCACCAAAGTAGGATCCTAAGTACTGTGCCAAATGCCAGCCCCTGAATCTTATTTTGATGTCATCAACCTGGATTTCTCAAACATTCCTAAATTCCAGTTGAAACATTAACATTGAAAATTTTATTAATATGTTATCTGAAAAAGTGTAATTCAGTAATTGTAAAACCTTGTGTATTTTTCATAAATTTTGATGAGAGGTGAAGGGGTTTTGATTATTAGCATGCCAGTTGCTTGCTTGTGCCAGAGATCTTTGTGGTGTTTAAACCTTTGTGATCAGACACAATATTTGAAGCTACTTTCAGTACTTCACATAGATAAAAACTGATTCTTTGAAAATACTCCTTCAAGTGTAGCCAGGGAATATTCTTTGGTGAATTGAATGTGTTAACCTAATGCAAAACCTAAACAAGCACAGAAAGTTTGTCAGAAATTTCTCCTGGAAGAACAGTTTCAGTAGTTCATTTTCTTACTTGAGCAGACATTTAGAATATTTTCTTCTTCCTACCAATTGGCTTCTGGATATGAGTCTGAGAAAAACAAAACGCTGACACTTTGGTCAGGGAGATAGGAAGAGCAAAAGTTGGAAGTTAATGGCTAGAGCAGATGTTAATATTTGAATGACCAGAATAGATGATGCACTCCTGCCTGTGCTTCTCACGGATGTGGAAATCCTTTGTTTTTCAGCCAGATAGCAGCAATGAAGAAAATGATTCTAGATGGGAGAGAAAATTAGACGACGTGGTTATCTCAGGAAGAAAAACCAAACCCCTCATTCCAGAGATGTGCTTTATTTATAGTGAAGAAAATATTGAATATTCTCCACCTAATGCCTTCCTTGAAGAAGATGGAACAAGTCTTCTGATTTCCTGTGCAAAGTGCTGTGTGCAGGTTCATGCAAGTAAATGAATATTGTATTCATTAGTTGTTGGTTTTCCAAAGTCCCAACTTCTTACCTCTCAGGAAACTATCAAACGTACTACATTAAACTGTTGGCATAGTTTATAGTGTGCCCATTCCTTCTCACACTTCTTCTATTGAGCTTATGAGTAGGTGTATAGTCACTTATCTTTTAGCTTTATGTGGTGACAGTGGAGTGCAGGTCTGTTTGTTATTAGGCACCAAATGTAGGTTAATCACTGAGTTCCTGCCAATGCTTAAATTGTAATATAAATCTCAGTTTCTTGTGTTGATTAGTGACTGTTTTTCTTCATGGTTTTTTTTTTTTTTTTGTTAAACAATGTCTTTTTTGTTGTTGTTGTTGTTTTTTGAGAAAGAAAAATTGTGATAGTCCCATTCTTTCTTCTGGTTCATTTCTTTATCAGTCTTTTGCTGGTACCAAAGTCAAAGGCCAGAAATGAGATCCGGTTTTCCAATGTAAGTGGCAGAGACCATTCGATTGACTCATTGTCAGTGCTCCCTGCTCTACCTTAGCAGGAACTAGAAGTGGGTATTGAATCCAGGCACTCCCATATGGAACAATGGCTTCTTAGTTATTTGGCTAATTGGCTGTGCGCTTTGTAACGTTTTGGAGAGAAGTGGACATTTCTTTCTTGATTATGAGAATTACAGTTTTACTGAGTTATATTTTTATAGGCCCCTTCTTCACAGGCAGATTTCTCTTGGCTTTCCTGGCAGAATTACTATTATAGTTGTTTTTTTGCCCAGACTAAGATGACTATACCCCCACGTTGTTTCAATTTGTTAGCCTTAAACAACTATTGAATTGGCCTGCTATAGAAGTCCAATTAGTGATTTGAAAGAATGCTTGCATAAGCTTTTACTCTTCTGTGAGGGGTTTTGGATTTGGAGAAAAAAATGTAGTTACAGATGTATTCGTATTTGTACTTTCTGTTAAAGTACACAATTGTAGGATTGTTGTTTAGATTTTGAGTTTATTCTTGATGAAAAGCTTTGTTCTCATTTTTAAGTTTATACTTGAATCTTAATAAATCCTCCAAGTTATCAAAAAATGAAAAAGTTACTATTTTAAAGTGCATTTTAACATTCCAAGTATTAGGAATATAGGATCCACTGTCATTACACGTAATCATATGTGGTCTGCCTCTGTCAACCTAGTTGGAATTGTATACAGTATACTTACTTCCTTGTATGTTTAATCCAGTATAATAACATCCTTTTCTGTGATTAAGATTGTAGTAGTTATATCAACATCTCTAGGGAAATAATTTGTAATGCAGACACACACAAACAGGATGACACGCACTGTCAATTGTTGTGTGACTTTTAAGAAGTAAAGTGCATGAAGAAATTGGGTACTAATGTTGGCTTCTGAAACATACCAGCCATAAACTTTAGTCATTGTATTTCATAATAATTCACTTGCTTCACTATTTTGTCCATATCTTATGGACAAAATATTTTATGGAGAAAATTAAAAACTTTTCTTTGTTAATTACATGTTTCTTGCCCATCTCAAATACTGTGAAAATTTCACATTATCCATTGTATAGATTTAATTTATCCCACTATATTCCATAAGTGTATTTTATTATCATGTGTTAATTACAAGTAATTTATTTACATCATGGTGCCTTATAAGTCTATGCATATATGTACTGTCAGCTGTCTCGTTAATCAGCTATTTGGGACCAGGAATATACCAAATCCATAAATTGTAAACATTGTCTTCATCATTAGCCATGACTTATCCAGCCTATGTCATATCGTTGATATTAAGTATAATCAAAGCTTAATTTTTAAATATAATTTGTGCTGACATTAATTTTAAAAGGCAATATTTATTTTCCCAAATGTTGCTTTTTACATGTACATGAGTGAAATATTACACTTGTGAAAGTAGACATTTTATTGTTTTGTCCATTTAAATTAGAGCTATTTTCAATGGTAACTGTTGTATTTGTTAGCAATAAACTAAACTTTCATGTTTTTGGGGACCAATTTTTGACAATTGAAAACATCAAAAAGCATAGTTGTCCTTTTATTATTATTACTATTTGGTATTAATTGTAGTATTTTAAGAATACAATGGAGATGATACATGGTTGTTTTTTAGGTTGCTATGGTATCCCTTCTCATGAGATCTGTGATGGATGGCTGTGTGCCCGATGCAAAAGAAATGCATGGACAGCAGTAAGTTACTTCTTTCTGTATCACTTCACTTCTCTCACCTCACTCACTATGGATATAACTAGTGGCAAGATACGATTGCATGTTCACTTCTGTGTACAATTCTATTCTTTCCTCTGTTTCTTAGCTTCTATCTCACAGTCATTTCTCATGCTGGTTTTATAGGTTTGTAGAAGTGTTAGGTGATATCACAACTGTAGGTTAATTTCTAGGATTGCCAGTTTTTCAATTTACATTTTAAAAGACGTAAATTAAAAAAAGGGCCTGGTGCCTATTGGCTAATGTCCTTGCCTTCATGCACTGGGATCCCATTTGGGCACTGGTTCTGATCCCAGCAGCATTGCTTCCCATCCAGCTACCTGCTTGTGGCCTGGGAAAGCAGTCGAGGACGGCCCAAGGCTTTGTGACCCTGCACCGTGTGGGAGACCTGACAGAAGCTCAGGGCTCCTGGCTTCAGATTAACTCAGTTCCAGCTGTTTCGACTACTTGTGGAGTGAATCAATGAACTTCCATTCTGTATCTCCTCAGGATATCTGACTTTCAAAAAAAAAAAAAAACACAAAATAAATCTTGGAAAAAAAAAAGATTGAAAACTTTAAAACATATGTGTTTATTGTCTTCCATGATACAATTTGTTTAGGCGAAGGGATTTCTCTTTCCCTGCCGTTTCTCTTGCCTGGATTTTTCCCTATCCCCATGTTCTCCCATATTATTGTAGTACTATAGTCCTTTAGTTACCATTTTTAGTTTAATGGTCTGCTATTTAATCACATCATGGAGTGTAGGTATAGATAAAGACAGTGTAGTGTCATATTGTGAAGGTATATTTCACAGTCTCATTGGAAGGCCTCCTTTTATTTGGCACGGGAGATGTCTGTTGCACCGAATCATCACTTCCTTTTATGCTGACATTCATTGTACAGTTCTATGAGGGAACATGTATGATTTGTCTCCCTATAGATCTATTTGTTTTGTATTTTGCATAAATGTTGCCTTATATCACGGGGAATATGATATCTATCCCTTTGGTGTTGGCTTATTTCACTGAACATAATGGTCACTAGTTGAGACTACCATGTTGCAAAATGGTAGGATTTCATTCTTTTAGATGGCTGTTTAGTATTCTCTGGAGTAGATACACCACAGTCTCTTTATCCTTTTCTCTTTTAATGGGCCTCTTGGTTGTTTCTGTATCTTCACTATTGTGGATTGTGTTGGGTTCAGATTTCTGTTTGTCTTGATGTATTCTCAGGATTGGAATAACTGGGTCATATTGAAGATCAATTTTCAGTTATCTTATCACTCTCTATACTGACTTCCATCATCGCTGCCATAGCCTACACTCCCATTATATGGGCATTTGGGTATCTTTTTCTCTACATCCATGCCAGCAGGTTTTTGTTAGTAGGCAATTCTCACTGGAGTTATTTGGAACCTCAATGTGGCTTTCATTTGCATTTCACTATGTATATATAGCTAGGGAGCCTTTTTTCATAGGTCTATTAGTTATTTGAATTTGTTCTTTCATAAAAGACCTGCTCATTGCCTTTGCCCATGTATTCACAGGGTTGTTTATCTTTTTGTCCTCGAGTTTCTGAAACTCCTTATAATTCCTGGATATTATTCCCTTATCCCTTATCCTTTGGTAAATTGTATGTGTCCAAACTTTCCATTTCTTTTAGGTTCCAAATATAGCTATTTATAGTGTTTCTGGTTATTCTGTGTTTGTCCAAGGAATCCTTGTCAATTTCACATTCTCAAAGACCCTTAGGCCTATTTTGTGACGCAGGCTCTAAAGAAGCTCATGCAAATCTAACACTATAGCTTCGTCAATTCCTCAATATCACTAAGGATTTCTTCTTTATCTTGCCTTTTGAATGTAGGAGTTGTTGATCAGGAATACCTAATAACATCTTTAACTTGTTTGTAATTATGCAAAAAATGAGATTTTTATAGTTTTGTTCCTGTTTATGAGAAGTGCATTTAAACACCTTGTATTTGATTGTAAAAAATACATGTGAGCATTACATGTGATAATTTTATTTTATACAGATGTTTAAAGAATAGTTTATAGTTTTAGATTACAGTAGCACTATAACATTAACAATCAGTGATGTTTTAAACGGAAAGGGCTTCTTTTGTTTTATAAGGAAACAACCCATAATACACACACACACACACACACACACACACACACACACACACACATACACACACATATGTTGCAATGTGGAAAGCTTGTCAGCTTCAACTAGCATGAGGTTGTACAGGCTTTAAACAAGGCTAGAATCAATACACAAAATCTAGCTATCTTTTTATTTATGAATTCTAAAGTGAGAGGTTACTGTGTACCCAGTTGTTTAGGTAGTTTTAAAGTGACTAGAAGTCAGGACACTACCTCATTTATATTTAACATGTTTTAATACCTCGGATTTTACTATATGATTTCTGATGTAACAGATTTATAGAGTACCATGGTTAGTGTCATTGTTACCTGAACCTGATCCTAATTTTTGACCTGCCGTGTCCTTGACATTTTTGAAGATTAGGTCACACTTCATCTGGTCCAGGTAGTACTATTTCTGAATTTCTCCATTTATGACATTTAAAGTCAACCACAAACCGCACTGCAGTTTCAACTGCACATGTTCGAGGAAGAGTGCTGTTACAATTTTTGTTTACAACCCTTATATGGTTTCTGGCATTATGAATGTATGACTCAATGCAGTGAACTGACATGAAACACATAAAGAAACCCCTTTTTAACTCTATTACTTCCCACCCTCCCCATTTATATATATTTAGATCCAGGTTGTATATTCCATAGTTAAGGTTTTAGATATTGTTGAATTGAGCTTCATTTTATATGATGTCAGTATTTCTCATAGATATTGACTGAACTATCTTATAAAGATTTGAATTTATGATGTTTTGGTAACCTAGATACCTATATTTATTCTAAAAATTACTAGTTGCTATTTAGTAATTAGATCTCATGTGATTTTCTTAATTCCTCATGGTATAGAATTCTAAAGAAAAAATTAATATAATTTTATTTAATATTTTCAATAAATGTTGCAATTTTCTTTTAAATTTGAAAGACAGTGGGTCGCTTTAATAGATGTTTTTCTCTAGGAAATTTGATTTTTTTCTGTGGGACTTTTTAGTTGTTACGGCTGTGATTTTTTTTTTTTTTTTAGAATACCACAAATAGGAGTGAGAACTTATGGAAATATTGGTAACTAAATTTACAGGAAGCCAAAGATCAGCCTTACTCAAAATTTATAATTTTGACCAATTTAATGTTGATAGTCTTCTGTACATGGCATCATTAAGCCATTTTTCATCCTCAGATTGGAAAATCCCAAATGAAGTATTGTTTTACTTTGGAATCACATACTTAGAAGTAGGTCTGTAACAGATAATAAAGGAAGAGTGTGTTGACCATTTTCATGTCATTGTATATTATTCTTCAGTGAAAACTGTAAGGTTCGAGTTAATGTTTGGAATGAGAAATCCACACAGAATAGATTTCAGCTTCATACAAGCTTTATTTGGAGCATTCCTGAATGAGGTTCACTGGTCCAATACATATAATTGGCCAGGAAGCTCTGCCCAGGGGACATGAGGGATTGTTTTTATTAAAGGGCTTCTAGAGTGTCATAGGCTCCCTTTGACCTTGGTGGATCCATATGTCACAGCTAACCTAGGAGGAAGCTGCCTGCTCTTTGTTACGCCTTATCAGCTACACTTCTCAGCCTCCTCCTAGGCTGCCCCTCACCGACCACAGCTGGGTCTTACAAAAATGCTTTATGAGAATACTGTAATGATATATATATATATTTATACACACACACACACACAAGCCATATACCCATATATTGTACAGCATCAAGAGTGAGCCCTGATATAAACTGAGTTCTGGGTCTCACTAATTTTTAGCTGTTTTTGCCACAAACCTAAGATGCCAGACAACAAGTAAGCCACGCAAAGAGCTCATTTATTCTGGCAGGGTAGTCAGTTGTGGGGTAGAGAGAGAGAAAGAGAGAGGTCTCCTGCCATAGTTGCGGGGGCAGGGTGCGGCTTCCAAGGGAGGAGTGAGAAAGAGGGAGAGAGAAAAGAGAGAAAGAGATGAAGAAACGAAGCGAAAGTTATTTCAAGGACTTTCTTTAATTCCATGTCCCTATATGTTCCAAATTTTGCCTAATTTGTACTTCTCAATATTTTTATTTATACTTAACTCAGTAAAATTTGAATATTTTTATTTAAAGTAATACAATGTAAAAAGAGGCATATGCATTAAATTTTTGAATATTGCCAAGTTAGGGAAGAGTAAATTTTGTAGTAAAAATCAAGAAACTCAACAATTTGCAGGTTTCAAGTCTCATTCTATATGATGAAATGCATAAAATAGGTAATGATGCATGTTTATATTTATTTGTTGTGCTAAACAGATTAAAAAAGATATTTGCATTTTTTCATGTATTTATAACAAACAGCATTCCGCATCTTCCCAAAATGATTTTAAGAAAAACAAAACCCAAGGTAAAATGATTTTCAACGTGACCATGTTTATTCTATTCCCTGTGCCCTTTTTTTGTATAAGCAGAATCACAACTGGAAATTAGTATGTTCGACTTTTGTTGATTTGTTGGAATTAGTTTTCCATTCCTGTATACAGATTGAAATATGCAATTGCAGTGATGAAACAATAAACATTTAAATGGCTCTGTGAAATTTGTGTTTAGCCTGAATGCAAATTAGAACATTTACAAATTGAGTAGTTTTTGCCATTTCTGGCTGTAGTGTTACACACGTTTGTTATATTTCACCATAGTCACGTAATTTAGTTCCTAGAAATAGCTGTGATAATCTGCATTATATATTTATAAAACCTACCCCTACAGTGCTGCCAAGTTTTGTGAGGTAAAGAATCTATGTTAGTTGCTGAAAAGTATTTGCCAAAACTTCTATTTTGTTAGTCGAATTCCCAACCTTAATTT